CACATACATGCAGGCGATACACTCATAACACATAAAGGAAAAATATTAAAAAAAAAACAAAGAAAGAAAAAGAAATCTTGTGCCCCTCAAGTGGCTGCTCTGTGCCTCTCCATCTCTGTGGATTTGCCTTCTGGAGATTTTGTGTAAATGGGATCTCACACGGGGGCGGGAGAAAAAAGCACCTTTTGTGCTTGGCTATTGCTCACTTGCTATCATATCTTCAAAGATTATGTTCTGATATGGATCAATACTTGTTTCTCTCTGTTTTTTGGTCTTTTTGAGACAGGGTCTCCCTGTAGCCCCAGCTGTCCTAGAACTCACTATGTAGACCAGGCTGGCCTTGAACTCACAGAGATCCGCCTGCCTCTGCCTCCCAAGTGCTGGGATCAAAGGCGTGCTCCACCATGCCCGGCCTTGTTTCTCTTTTTTAAAAAAAATCCCGTATTTTGTTTATCTGCTTGTCTACTGATAGACATTTTGGTAGTTTCCAATTTGGGGTTGTTAGGAATAATATTGCCTTGAACATTCATGTACACATTCTGACATGGGCATGTGTTTCTGTTTCTCTTGGATGTATACCCGAGTAAAATTTCTGTATCATATTTGAACTCCCTGCATACAGTTTTGAAGGACCGTTAGACTGTTTTCCAAATTGACTATGCCTGCGTCCTAGTGTTCAACCTCTTCCATACCACTTGTTAAATGACTTTTTAAAGAGATTTATTTGTATTTTGTAACTATGTGGTGTCTCTGGATGGGTATGTACCCCTATGAATGCAGGTGCTCTTGATGTTCAGAAGAGGGTGTTAGATCTCCTGGAGCTGATGTCACCAGCAGTTGTGATCTACCCAACGTGGGTGCTGGGAACTGAACTTGGGTCCTCTGGAAGAGCAGCAAGTTCTCTTAACTGCTGAGCCATCTCTCCATCTCTATTATTAAATGCCTTTTTGATGCTAGCCATCCTGTTAATACTGTTGGGTGTGGAGTAGTATAACTTCTTATGGTTTGAGCTACATTTCTCAGATGGCACATTTTACTGTCTGTATCTCTTCTTTGAAAAACTACCTATTCCAATCCTTGCCTAGTTGTTAGTTGGGTTATCTGTCCCAACTAAAGAGAGTTTATCTCTAGATTCATGAAGGGTTATGAATTTAGATAAAGGATTATGAATTCTAGATGCACGTGCCTTGCCAGATATATGTTTTATAAATATTTTCTTCCATCCTGTAGTCATCTTCACTTTCTTGTCTTTTTTATTGTGAGCCTGAGCTCTCCAGCCCAACCTTTACTTTCTTGACACCATCCTTTGCACCTGAACAATTTTTAAATTTAATGTTGTCTGCTACAAGTTTTATTCTTTGAACTTTTATATTTATGGTGTAAGAAGTCAGAGGCTTTTGCATGTAGCTGTTCCAACACTATCTGTTGAAAAGAAGCCTCTGTCTGGTGACCTCTTCTAAAAGAGGTCAATTGACTGAAAACTGGAGGATCTATTTCTACACCTGGAATCTGGCCTATCAATCTCTATGAGTCCTGTATTTCTTTTTTCTTTTCTGTCAATTGCTAGCATATGTATGGGAAAGAAATGATTTTTGTATATTGGTTTTGTATCCTGAAAAGTTAATTTCTTCTTTGTATTTTTCATTAACTTCTCTTTTCTTAAAAAGTGTCTATGTGGGCCGGATGTGGTGGAGCATGCCTTTAATCCCAGCACTCAGGAGGCAGATTTCTGTGAGTTCGAGGACTACAGGGAGACCCTGTCTCAAAAAGACCACCCCCCCCAAAAAAAAGTGTATGTGTGTGTTGCGCACATGCGCATATAGAGACCAGAAGCATCAGGTCCCCTGGAGCTGGAGTCATAGGTGGTTGTGAGCCACCGTATGGGTGCTAAGAACCGAACTCAGGTTCTTGCAAGAGTGGCAAGTGTCATCTTTCCAGCCCCTCTGCTAACTTTTAAACACAAATGATTATATCGTCTGCAGATTCCATTTTAACTTTTTCTAGTTTGTGTGCCTTTCATTTCCTGTCTTACTGCACTGGCTAGAAGAGAAACCAACCACATTGCCTTATCTCGAGCTGAGAGCGGAAGTGTTCAGTTTTTTTTTTTTATCACAAAACATGCTGCTATTATGAGTTTTTTAAGGATTCTCTTAACAAGGTTGAAGATGTTTCATCATACGTAGTCTACTGGGAGTTTGTGTCATGAAAGATACTGCAATATTTTTTTTTCTATGTCTTTTTGAGACAGGGTCTCCCTATAGCCCCAGCTGTCCTGGAATTCACTATGTAGACCAGGCTGGCCTTAAACTCACAGACATCCACCTGCCTCTGCCTGGAATTAAAGGCGTGCGCCCACCATGCCTGGCAGATACTGCAGTTTTTGTCAAATGCTTTTTCTGTGCCTGTTGAGATTATCTATAGTTTTCTGTAATGACTTCCTAATATGAATTACAGTGAATTTCTTGTTGCTGTTTGTTTCCATTCTTGGGGTTGGCACCTGCTAGCCAACTGTTCTGCCATGGAGCTACATCCCCTAGTCTTCCCTCCCATTCCATCCCATACCCCACCTACATCCCTTGGTTATCTCCATGTTGTCTTTCCCATCTCCCATCTCTGCCCATGGAGTCTTGTTATGTGTTTCCAGGCTGGCCTTGAATTCCTGAGCTTAAGCCATACCCCCTCCTAAGCCTTCAGAGCTAGGGCTGTTAGGTTCACTGATGCTCAGTGAAATATTGTCAAGTGTTAAATCAGTCTTGAGTTGCTGAGATTAATTCCAGTTACACTTGATGTCTCTTTTCATGTTTTTTTAAAAACTTAAAAAAAAATTTTATTTATTAAGCCGGGTGTGGTGGCCCATGCCTTTAATCCCAGCACTCGGGAGGCAGAGGCAGACAGATCTCTGTGAGTTCAAGGCTAGCCTGGTCTACATAGTTCCAGGACAGCTGGAGCTGCAGGGAGACCCTGTCTCAAAAAGACCAAAAAAATTTTTTTTATTTATTTTTATTTTATGTGTATGCATGTATTGCCTGCATGTAGGTAAGTGTACCCATGTCGTGCAATGCCTGTGGAGGCCAGAAGAGGCTGTTGGATCCCCTGGGACTGGAGTTATGGACATTATTAGCTGCCATATGGGTGCTGGGATTTGAACCCGGGTCTTCTGCAAGCACAACCAGTGTTCTTAACAGCTGAGCCATCTCTCCAGCCCCCATGTTTTTTATTTGGGTGTGATTATATAGAATTGTATTGAAAGATTTTATACTTACATTTGTGAAGCATATTGTATGTGGCTTTCTAGTGCTGTCTTTTTCTGATTTCCGTATCTGGTTAATGCTAGTCTTCTAAAATGAGTTGAAAAGTATCCTGTTCTTTTGTTTCTCTGAGTTTTCATAGAAGTAGCATTATTTCTTTCTTGGCATGTGTTGGAAATTACGAATGAAGCCATCTGAAGTCTTCTTTTTGGGAAGATTGTGTTTTTTGCTATAAATTAAACTTCGTTAGTAGATACAGGGCCATTGTGTGTCTTTGAAAGAATCAACTTTTTCATCTAATGGGCTTGACTTACTGGTACAGTCTGCTCAGACTTCTTGGTTATTTGCCTTTTAATGTCTCCAGAGTCTCTACTGGGGTTTTCTTCCTAGTTCTTGGTGATGTCAAATTTGTTTAAAAAACTAGAAGGGAAAATTTATCATCTTGATTCTTTTAGGGCTTGTGTGGAATAGCAGTGTGAAAGTGATAGTGTTCTGCTTTCATATGTGTACTGTGTAGAATGTGTGTTCAGCTTCCCATGTGCCTGCAGAGGCCGGAGCAGGGCTCCGGGTGTCTTCCTCTGTTTGCTTTCTGCTTTACTGCCTTGAGACAGAGTCTTTCACTGAACTGCAAGCTCACTATTTTGCTACCAGGATCTGCCTGTCTCTGCTCCCAGTGCTGGGGTATAGGCACATGCAGCCATGGCCTGCAGTTTGTGTGAGTGCTGAGGATTTGAACTCAGGTCCTCAGGCTTGCAGAACATGTTATCTCACCAACTGAGCCATCTCCCCAGACTGTTTTCAACATTTTAAACTTGAGCATTTCAAAACTGTTACATAGGATAGGGATAGAGCACTTGCCCAGAACAGTCAGAGAAGACAGTAAAACACTGGGATGGGGTGGGTGGGCCTGAAGAGATGACCCAGCAATTAAAAAGCAAATACTGCTTTTCCAGGGGACCCAGGTTCAATTCCCAGCAACCATGTTGTCAATGACTCCCAGTAGCCTGGAACTCCAGCTCCTGGGGGTTCCAACATCTCTGGCCTCTGAGAGCACCTGCGTTTATGCGCGCGCGCACACACACGCACGTGCACGCGCACACTCTTAAAAACTCAAGCTAACAGTTTTCATAGGTTCTCACAAGTGGGGAAGTCTGTATATCATCAGTGTAAGAGTTGAGTGAAGTTCACAAGAAAACATACACTTTTATAACATGACTTGATCGAAAATAGTTCGGACAAGATGGGGAAGAGAGCTGGGAGCCCCAGCCTGGAGAAAGTCTGAAATAATACTTGTTTTCCTTGTAAAACCAATTGAAGAGGATATTTGTACAAATGCGTATTTGTAACCCAGTTTCAAGAGCTCTGTCTGTGGGTCCCGTTATTTTGTTTCAGCAGTTTCTCTTTTCTTCCACAATTATCTCATGTTGTCCACCCTCCTTCTGGAAGGGTGTACTGGTGGCACAGGGTGATGGTAATGGCACTGGACACTGATGTCCCCATTTCCCACAGACTACTGGGAACACAGGATTTCAGTTGGCAGTGAAGGTATAAAATGATAAAAAAACAAGACTCAGAAAATGACATTCTGAGGAGCTTTACGTTGTTTACATTTGAGATGCAGTACTACACAACACTTATATTTTCCTAAAGTAGATATTTTGGTCCCATCATCAAAATAAATAAGTAAATAAATAAATAAATAAATAAATAAATAAATAAATAAATAAAAATTCTGATTTTATGTCTTTGCAGAGCTCCTGAGTTGGAAGTAGAGGAAGAAGCTCAAGTCCAAGAAATGACCTTAGACGAGTGGAAAAACCTTCAAGAACAAACCAGACCAAAGCCCGAGTTCAACATCCGGAAGCCAGAATCCACAGTTCCTTCCAAGGCAGTGGTGATTCACAAGTCCAGATACAGAGATGATGTAAGCCCTGAGCTTTCTGCCTGGGGGTGGGGTGGGGTGGGAATCTATGTACTTTCAGCCTCAGCACCTATAAAACAGACCTTTTCCAGTGTTGGGTAATGGGACCTTGCTGGTTGACATTCTTGTTTTCTTGACTTTTTTTAAACATCTATTTATCTGTGTGCATGTGTGTGCGAGCGTGCGTGCGTGTGTGTGTGTGTGTCTCTGTGTGTGTGTGTAGGTCAGTTGGTTCTCTTTTTCTACCATATGGGTCTTAGGAATAAATTCAAGTCATTAGGCTTGGCAGTGCCTTTGCCTGCTCAGCCATCTTGCCGGCCTGCTAGTTGGCATTCTTGTTTCTGATCACGCTTCATCAAGGGTAAAGGAAAGGAACAGAGCTTGGTGCATTGATAACAAATATAGCACACCCCACTCACCTTGGAAGTATGCTGAGAGGATGCATGCCGAATGTTAACTCTTCGTCTTTGTCTCTCCGGGAGAAGCACAGAGTGGCCTTCTCAAAGGATATTGACTGTTTTTTGATGATTACATTGCTGCCTTTTCTAGTCCTTTTGGGTTTTTTTGTTTGTTGGTTGGTTAAATCAAGGGCCTCACTGTGTGTAGCTTAGGCTGGCTTTAAACTCACAGTTTTCCTGCCTTAGCCTCCTGAGTACCAGAATTAGAGCTGTATACCACAGGATCAGTTTATCTTCCTCCCTCCCCCCTCCCTCTCCCACCCCTCGACACGGTCTCCCTGTAGCCGCAGCTGCCCTGGAACTTGCTATGTAGACCAGGCTGGCCTCAATCTTACAAAGATCCACTATCCTCGGCCTCCTGAATGCTGGGATTCAAGTCCTGCACCACATGCCAGCCCACTCTCATTTTTGATGAGTGTTAGGTTGGGAGGAGTTGAGCATTGAAGCCACAGGTGGGAATCAATGTTCTGTGATGCTGGTCTTACATTATTTTAGCAGCATTGCTCCCTCTGTCCAACCTCAGAAACTACAGAGGAGCTTCTGGGCTGCTGATGGCAGGGGTCAGGCACATGCTACAGAGGGCTATACTGAGGGCATCACTAAAGACTTCTGTGTTGTACTGGTTTCTTCTTGGTTTACACCCAGCTTTTTGGTGTGTGCATGTGCATGTGCACGTGCGTGGGACGGGGTGTGCCTGTATATGTGTGTGTGTATGTGGAGGCCAGAGGTCTATTGCTCTCCACCTTCTTGAGACAAAGTCTCTCAGTGAACCTGGAGCTCACCCATTTGACTAGCCAGTGAGCTCCAGAGATACACCTGGCTCCACCTCTCTGATGCTGGGGTTCCAGATGTGTGCTGCTGTACCCAGTTTTGTTTTGAATATCTTATTTTTATTTTATGTGTATGAGTGTATTGCCTGCATGTATGTGAGTGCACCCATGTCGTGCAATGCCGTGGAGGTCAGACGAGGGCATCAGATTCCCCTGGAACTGGAGTTAAGGACAGTTCGGAGCCACCATGTGGGTCTTCTCCAAGAGCAATCAGTGCTCTTAACCGCTGAGCCATCTCTCCAGCCCTGCACCCAGTTTTTTATATGAGTGTTGGGGATCCAAACTCAGGCCTTATGTTTGCACAGCAAGCATTTAGCAACTTGGCCCTGCCTCCCCAGCCCACCATCTAGCTTTTTATCAGACAGCTCAGTGTTAAAGAAGCTGTTTCAAAGTAAATATCTATCAGTCTGTATTGATAGGTTGATAGGCTGACCATTTAATCATACCCTCTTCAAGTTTCTAAACTTAAAGGAACACTGAAGCTCTCAGGTGTAGAATTTAGAATTCTTACCCTTCAGTCACAGTATGAAACAGTGTAGTTGATGGTGCTAACCAAACTCCTCTTCCCTGCTGGTTGTTACTCACTGATTTTTAGTCACAAATTCAGAATACTGTGATTTGTCAGCTCTCTGGTGCTGTGACAAAATGCCTGAGGTAACTTATAAGGAGGAAAGGTGTGACTCAGCTTTAGGTTGTGTGGCCGTTGCTTTGGGTCTGTGGCATCATAGAGAAAGCATATGGCAGGAAGGAGCTGGGGTTCCACTATCCCCATCAAGGGCACCCCCAGGACCTACTTCCTTCTACCAGTTCCCATATCCTCAAGGTTCCATCATCTGCCAACAGCACTACAGGCTGGGCACTAGCCTTAGCACATGAGCCTTTTATGGGTCCTGTGAGACCCAAGGTATAGCAGTTTTCATGTGCACTTGTGTTGTGTTCTTTGAGGGGTACTTTAGAGCCCGTTGATGACAGTGTCTCCTCTGCGTTGTTTGGTCAGATCAGTCTCGAGGATGCCTTTCTAATAAAAGTTTTGAGATGTTCCACCAGAGATGTTGTCATAGACACAGGCCGCCAGAGCTTTCCTCTCTCTCGGAGTCTTTCACCAGTCCATTAGCAAAGGAGGCTGCTTATCCATTTTTTTGGCCCTTTCCTATTGTGAGCGTTGGAAATAAAGCTTCCTGTGAAACATGCCGGCGGCATGTTAGGTAAAAATAGGAGTGCCTTCCTCAAACCACATTAGAGTCATTCTCCTTGGCTCCCGAGATCTGCTGGAATATTTGAGTTAGCTGAGTCATTGAGCTTGGTTTCCATACAGTATGAGTCTTTGGTCCTTGTTACTCTTACAGCATTGTAGAATTTAGCCAGGGATTGTTCTTAAAAGCAACATGAGCCAAATGTTGGGGTTGATAGTTTACTTTGTTTTTGACACCCGAAGAGACAAAAAATGTCCCGGAATAATCCTCCTTGTTTGTGTGTGAAGTTCAACCTAAAGCAGCTCTGAAATGAGCATGTTGGCCAGAGACAGAGAGGGAGTGGAACTCAAGTCTGACTCACTGTGTTGCCCCAGGAGTCCCTCTGCAGTGGAGACAGCCACTGACCTCACCAACCACTTCCTTCTAGAGCACAACTGATAGCCTCGTGCTTTCTGAATCTGGAGTTCATTCTTGTGCCGCTTGCCGTGTGGTGTGTGTGTGTGTGTGTGTGTGTGTGTGTGTGTGTGTGTGTGTGTGTGCGTGCACCTCTGTGTGTGCATGTGAGCATGTGCCCATGCCTATGCTTGTGCCTGACTTTCATCAATTTAGCTTGAGGGGGGCCATCTACGTTGAACCTCTGCTTTATTTTAGTAACTTTAAAGGAACATGGGTATTAGATCCTGTAACAAACATGCCCCAGGGGCTGGAGAGATGGCTTAGCAGTTAACATGGGCTGCTCTTGCAGAGGACCCAGGTTCAATTCCCAGCACCTATATGGCAGCTAGAAACTGTCCATAACTCCAGTTCCAGGGGATCTGAGGCCCTCTTCTGACCTCCAAGGACACTGCATGACATGGGTGCACTTACATGCAGGCAGGCAGGCAGGCAATATACTCATACATTTAAAATAAAATTTAAAAAAATAATAAAAATAAAACAAACATATTTTAGTCGACTTTCTGGGGAAGTTATAGAAATGTTTAACTCTACAGATTCTCTGTGTATGTATGTATTGGTGGGTGTAGGTATATACATATGCAAGAGGGTGTACTTGGACATATGCAAATGAGTATGAAGACCAGAGGTTGAGGCCTCTCCACCTTATTTTTTGAGACCCTGGAGCTGGCCAACTTGGCTCAGCTAGCTGGCCACTGAGCTCTAGAGATCCTCCTGTCTCCACCTTCCCAGTGCTGAGATCACATGCTCTAAACGTGGATTCTGAACTCAGGCCTAATGCTTGCACAACAAGCTCTTTTCAGACTGATCTGCCCTAGCTGTCTTTGCAGATTCTCATCCAGGATTACTGCCGTATATTTATTTCTGAAGGTTTAGATTTTGCTTGAAGTGAACGGTTTTGATTTATTTATGATTGATTATGAGTCAAAGCCAAGTCATTTGGCGATATTTATTCATATCAAAGGTAGAACTTATTTGACTTCCTAAAATGCAGAGAATTTTAACTGAGGCAGTCCTTAAAAGCGCTTGACGACTTTGTGCAGCATTGGTAGTGACGCTCACATAATTGCTCTGTTGGTGAAATTTCCATGCATTTTGAGTCCAGCGTTTATTGCACCTCACATAGTTCTTACCATGTGGCATTTGCACAGTCCACACCCACACTGAAGGGACTCTCTCTGCCAAGTTCTGTTCTCAAGGTGATGTTTCCTTACTTGTCACAGTAGCATTTATGAACAAATGAAACAGAATATAGGCAGAAATTATAGCATTTATGAACAAATGAAACAGAATATAGGCAGAAATTAACTTTTTAACTTCAACACAATACACTCCAGACATCTGTTAGTCATGTCAAATCTTTTATCTTAACCTGCTAAAACTGATAGAATTTTGGTCTTACTTGAAGAATTATTAAGTTCAAAGATGTTTAGATTAAGACTAATTAGAAGACCAGGACTATATTCTCAGCACTTGGGAGAGTGAGGCAAGAGGACCACTATAAGTCTGAGGTCAGCCTGGGCTATGTATGTAGCCAGGCTGTCCCCCCAAACAGAGACTCATCAGGAAAATGTATGACACTGAAATGTAAAAATTTCACTTGTATTCGACCATGGTGTCTGCTGTCCAGCCCAGCTGCCCAAGGCTGTGATGCATCCTGGGTCCCATAGCAGCACACAGGCCACCTGCGTAGCACATTAAAATGCTCACTGCCAGGCTCTGATCTTTGCGTCCCTGGAAATGGCTGTGCATGTGTCTGATGCCCTATCATGTTTCAGATGGTGAAGGATGACTATGAGGACGAGTCTCACATCTTCAGGAAAGCCGCCAATGACATCACATCACAGCTAGAGATTAACTTTGGTAACCTCCCTCGTCCTGGACGGGGAGCCAGAGGCGGCACCCGGGGAGGCCGAGGAAGGATCAGAAGGGCAGAGAACTATGGCCTCCGAGCAGAAGTGGTGGTAAGTGGCATGTCCTGAGCCAGAGGGCTTGCTGAAGGAGTGAGGGCCAAGGTGTTCGAGCCACAGTGGTCTAATTTTGGAGGGTTGCCAGTTGCCTTGTAGAGCCATTGAGGGTCTGACTTTGGGATAGTGATGTCACCGTACAGATCTCAGTCAGGTAGTTCCTGCTGCACCTTAGCCCCAGTGTCTGCTGGGAAGTCTACTGTCTTCTGTGAACCGGAGAAAAACTCCCTCTGAATCTGCATAGGACAAAATCCCTGGGCTTGAGGTGGAAGTAGGACACTGACAGCTGAGTATTAACCATGTCTGACTGTGTCCCATGCAGGGTCAGTGCTGTTAGGGCAGACGACTTCCTCAAGCTTTCAGGGCCCATTGTGACCAGCTGTGCCCACTGCCTCATGTCTTCCTGGGCTGCCCAGGCAGTGCTGCTCTTCACACAGCACATCCACACCACTCAGTTCCTTACCCACGAGCTCTTCACACAGCACATCCACACCACTCAGTTCCTTACCCACGAGCTCTTCACACAGCACATCCACACCACTCAGTTCCTTAACCACGAGCCTTGGATGCACTGGTTTCCTCCACCCCTCTGCCTGCTGATCTCAAATATGTCTTCCTAGCCCCTCTTCGTTCACAGTTTCTTCATTGCATCTCCTCTTAGACCAGGCAGAGTCTTTGAGCAAAGGCTTTGCTTAGCTCTGAAGCGTTTCCTGCTGCTGCTGCTCTTGCTGGGTGATTACCCACTGAGCACTTTCTGTCTCTTCAGGGGACAGAAACTGTATTTTTTGTTCATTGTTGGCTTCTGAACATGTGCAGGGCTCCAGAAATGCTTTATCCATCTGGAAGGAGTCCACCCTGGGGCTTTGGCTGGCCTCAGCCAGTGTGTGTCCCTGTGACAAGTAGGAGCAGACATCAGATTGTTCTCAAATGCCCCTTTTGCTGCCCTCTTCCCTTGTGCAGGGAGTAGCCTTATAGCATGTTATGTAACATGTGCAAAGACACAGCATTTTTTCTGTGCACACTTGAAGTCAGGTGCAAAAAGATCTATTGTGTGAACAGCAGGTGTCGCTCCTTTTGAACAGAGCAATGGGTAGTGTGCAGCACCTGAAACGTGGGCCCTGCCACTGCACTGCTCGCCTGTGCTGCTCCAGCTAGACCCACACCAGTAAGTAAAGTACTACTCCATGGCTGGGGCTCCCTCAGTGTTTGTGCCAAGCCCTCCACTAGTTCCTCCCTGGCAAAGCAGGGGGACTATGTGACACTGGCCACATCTGGGTGGGAAAAGGGCAGACAATTTCAAACCTCCTTTTGCTTCTTTAGACCCAAGATGTGGCTCCCAATCCAGATGACCCTGAGGACTTCCCCGCCCTGGTCTGATGTCCACTCCCCTGCAGCAGAGCAGCACTATGAAGACTTCCCTTGCCGCAAGAAGAGTCAGACTCTAAGAACAATAGATGTTGCTTTTCCTGTGTCCTGTGAATTTGTTGTACTTTCTTGCTCTGTGGGGTAGAGGGTTTCTCCAGGGGCACAAGAGCAAACACCCCATGAGTTCAGACACTTTCTCTTATAAGGAATTCCAAAATGAAGTTCAGGAACGTTTCAAATGTGTACATAAATTGTATGGAACCCTTTACCAAAGTACAGAGTAAAGCAAGCTACAACACTTGAGACAACTTAACAATGTCTAGCTGTTAGGAATTGTCTAAACAAGTCTTTTACCATCACAGGACATATGTAGAACTTGAACTATTCCTTTAAACAGTCACAGCCTAGTTTTCAGACTGTTCACTTGTAATCATTAAGTTAAACTCTGCTGAGAAACTTCCTGAGTTGTGGTTTTTTTCCAAACTAACTTTAAACAGCCATTGTGCACCAGTGATCACCACTCTGTGAAGTAGAGGAAGTACTGATTTTTAATGGTGATTTAAACTACCTCGTGGTTTCTGTGTGTATGTACACACGTTCTCACTTAGTATTATGTGTGCGTACTTAGTGTGTGGGTGGTTTTTAGGATGAGTATTAAACTTAAAATCATGTATTATTTAACTCACTAGTCACACAAAAAGATTTCCTGGTAAAAGATAAGTATCTTTTTCTTCCTCAAAACTACTGTTATATTCAGCACGTGTACTCTGAGCAGGCTGCTAACTCACTAGCATTTATTGATACCTTGGGCAAGCACCTCACTTGGGCCTTCCCCAGTTCCAGTGTTGCTCTTTCTGCTTCTGGTGCAGGTTTAGGGTCAGGGACCACCTTAGAGGTTCAGTCACTCACCTGGAGTCCCACCTCATAAGCCTGAGACCCGGGACCAAGCCATCTTATCCCAAGCTGCAAGATTCAGTGTGTGGGAGGGGCCAGCAGAGACAGCAGGACAAGTGGGGTGCATGAGGCTCCAGTCTGCTGAAGGGATTGTGAGGGGTACTGGCCTGTTGTGCTGATGGTGGACCTTGCTCCCAGGACCTATGCTTTCCCCATGTGGCCACACTGAGATGGCACTGGTCTGGAACCCAAGCACAAATGGAGGTTGGTGTTCCCTCTGAGCTTTGTTTATAAAAAACTTGGGGTTTGCTTTGGGCGCCCTCCTGCTTCGGGTCCTTTGTTTATTAAATGAATGAGTACAAAGGTGTGGTAACTGGACTGCTTTATTCCTTTTCCCTGGAGCCAGAACACTGAGTACCCTGATCTGATGGGAGAATTGTGTTGATCTTAGTCATGATAATCTGTGGAGCAGTGAGGGCTGTCATTACTCAGTAGGTCTAACGCTGTCACATGAAGTCATTCTTACCTTGGCTTTGCATGTGGGCAAAGACAGCTTCCTTTTAAGAAATGGAAGACACTGGCAAAGCTTATAGCATTGGGTTTATGACCACGAGCCTGCCTCAGATCATGTGCTCAGACAGCAGGTGGCCCTGCTTGCTGTAACAGGCTTTGGGACTGGTGCTACATCATGCATTTGGTAGGCAAAGTAGATGCAGTTTTTGCTTGTGTCTTGGGCAGCCTGGGTGACCCAGAGAAGATAGCCAGAGTGGAAGCCAAGGGCATAAGAAGCAATTAGCAGGATCATTCTGCTTCAACCTACACTTGGGGCCCTGTGCTTCTGGTTGATTAACCATACAGCGGAAACCTCGTCTCTTGGGAAGTGGGAGGCCAGGCAGGTGAATCCCAGGGGCTGGCTTGGGCAACCAGGCCTGACTGTCACTTCTGAATAGAAGGGTCTGAGTAGTGCTACCAGGGCATCAGTGGGTGGTAAGGACCCAGGAACTACCAAATCCTGCCTAGCAAAGGAATTCTGCTTGCCTACTGGAGTCAAGGGCACAAACCATGTCGGGTCTAAATAGGAAGGTGCAACCAGAACAACTGTCCCCTCTCAGATTGGAGTCCCTCCCACTCAGGATGCCTCCAAAAGCACCTGTGACCCGAGTCTGGAGGTGTTATCGCTAGAGGCTGCTGCTGTGAGTAGGATGTGTATGGCAAGGGCTGAACCAGGTGGTCTAGGCTGCTCTGCAAGTATCTAGAGCCCAACTTGGCCTGTGTTTTCACCCCAGCCAGGCAGGCCAGGCTGCTCTGTCCTGGCTTTGCCCAGACTTACGATCCCTTTCCTGCCACCCATCTCAGAGCTCCGTGCTGCTTGAATGTGTGCTATTTCTCAGGTGAGAGCAGTGTAGCTCCCTGAAGCCGCCTCGTGGGAGGTAGGCAAGTCTGGAGCAGCCAGATCCTGTCTCGAGGTAGGAAAAAAGCCACTCCCTCAAGTGGTGCTGTCCTCGAGGGCCTACTATCTAGCTATCTGTCCATGTTTCTGTAGCCACTGTTGCCTCCACTCGGCCTTCTGCAAGGATCAGCATTCCTGGGTCCATTCAGTTCCCAGTGTGGCCGAAGGTCAGCATCAGGGTAGCCCTGACACTCAGGTACTGTCTTGGATCACCCAGGATGTGTCCCATACAGTGAGAGCCTTGGCTGGGCTCTGCCCTACATGGTTATGTGGAAATGTAATGGGTTAAGAAAAAAACAGGGCTATCTGAAAAAACCTTTCCATCAACAGATGAAAGTGCACAGCCCCACCAAGACACTTTGCCTCAGAAGTCTGCCCTCGGGGCCAGGCCCAGTGCTGCCTCCCTCCTCTTTAAGGCACCGTGTCCTCACTCCAGAGCCACTGCTGCAGGGAAACCTCAGAGCACCTTGGACCCACCATGCTACAGGTGAACCTTCTCCTTGGACACTTGGGTGCCTTTGAAGTGTGAAGGCCATCTCCTCCACCTGCGGTAAAGCTGGGTCACTTGAAGGACTAGCACATCTTGGGTATGCTCTGCCCTGTAACTGCCTGGTCACCCACAGGTCATGTGACCAGCAAAGCTGCCAGGCAGCAGTGGGAGGAGGCCAAAGCACATACAAGATCGTTCCTGAGTCCAACAGTCTCTAGGCACTGATATTGCTAGTCACAAAATTCATCCTTTGGGTAGTGCTGTAAGGAGAAAGGGCCATGTGTACATCATTAGGACAGAGAACACCACGAGTATGTGACACGTGTTCCTGTTTCAGTTACCCTGAGGGTCACTGCCAGGGTACTGAGGGAAGACAGGTCAAGCTGTTCCCCTCCCACACCTCAATGGCCTTGAGAAGTAAGCTCAGGCTTAAGTTCCTAGTAGCTCCTGATACCTCTTGCTTTGACACGTCCATCTCCGCCACTGCTCCAAAGCCTTTGCTCGGGTCACAAGGCTTCCTATGACTTGAGAGGAATGTCCTCAACCAAAGCAGAGAGGCCCCCTACATCTAGTACAGCCATACTGTGGCCTGGTGGGTCCAATCAATGGGGCAAAGTGACAGTTACCTCAGAGACATTACTTGCATGAATACCCAGTTCCTGATGGCTGACTGTAGCTGGGAGCACAGAACCATTTTTAAGTTGAAGGAGGCCTGAGAAAGAACAGGCATCAGCTTGTGCATAGTCTCCACCAAGGGCTTCTGAGAGTTCTCAAATACCATGGTGGGGTGAGAACGGCCACACTGCTAAAGTTGGGTACCTGTGCACCCGTGTGATGAACAGCCTGCACTGGTGATTCGCTGCCATAGTGGCTGCTGGCCTTGAGTTACAGCAACAGTAGGGAAACCCTTCAAGTCCCAAGTTCTGTAGAATACAACTGTTCAGAGTGTGAAGCTGATCAGAGTGTGCGTGCTCTGGAGGTGAGGGACAGGAGTGAGCAGAGTCAGGGAGAGGTTTTTGATAGGAGGGAAAGGGGAGAAATGGGAATCCTGGGGAGGCTATGAGGGGAGTGAACTGTGGCCCACATCAAACACTGTTGGGAATGTTTATGAGGCATCCCTAGAAGGCTTGGGGATGACTGGCAAGTGGGTGATACACACCCCAGAGGGGCCTTCACATGGTATGGGTATGGACAACTGTCTTGGGAGGAGGGGCACTGAGGCCTTCCCTGGGCCTGTGTGCACCCATGGAAACAGCAGTGCTGCTCTGGGCAGATGGAGGAGCTTCTCCCAAGAGGCAGCCACTGGGCTCCTGTCCTAGGAGGGCTCAAGAGGCACACTCCTATTGGGCTTGAGTGGCTATCTAAAAGGTTGTCCCCTTAGCCCCTTGCCCACACCATGCCATAGGTCACAACAGTGAGAGCTGATGTGACACCCGGTGGAAGAATGAGGCAGATACATTTGCTGGCTGAGTGGCTGAGGCACCGGCCTGAAGAAGCAGGCTTACATTGCATGGGGTGAGGATCCAGTGGGGAGAGCAGCACTGTACATCAGGAGAGACCTCCAGAGTGTTAGGCCATGTGGACCCTCAGACAGATCAAAAGCTGGTCTAGAAAGGTTACAGCCCGAGACAGACAGCCATTACTGGAAAAGGGAAGAGACAGGCTGGTCTCACTTCAAGCCCAGGGCCTACCACTGTCACTAGGTAAGGCCAGGGTGGCCATCAGCCAGATCCCCATCCTGCACAGTCCTACCCAAATCCATAATGCCAGAGGATGTGCCAACCCCAGGCCTGGCTAAGGTGTCCCTTATGTCCTCCGGCTGGGCTACAGCAGACCTCTTCCCATCCCCAGGACTGGGGATAATAGACGCAGGTGATGGGGGGACACCAAGGATCAGGCAGGCAGGAAGTTGGCTGAGTGACCTGAGGCCCACCATGGAGTTTCAGCCCTCATGAGCCACATCCGCACACTCCCTAAGTGAGGTCTTTCCCTCACCCACCAGAGCTTGGGCCAGAACAGACAAGGCAAGAAACCCGTATCTACTTCAGCAGGATCCCTGACTGCCTGGGCAGCTTTCCTGATGCCCCGCTCTGTACGCACCTAGTCAGTCATTCCTGAGGGGCAGCAGCATGGCCCCCTGAAGTTGGCAGAAAAGAGGAGGGCAGAATTTGGAGTTGTTCACTGGCTGGGAACCTGACTGGCACCAAGTACGTGTGGGTGACAGCTATGCGAGACACCGTGCATTCTCTGGAGAGTCTTACACAAGGAAGAATTGTCTTGCCTGAAAAGTTGGTTTGTTCCACAAGCACACACCCAGGAAAGCCATACCCACACCAAACCTCCTCAGTCTCCTCCCGCTCCTTCTCCCCTCTTCCTCCTCCTCCACTGCTTTCTCTTCCCACCTAAACCCTCTCTATTTAAAATGTGCTGATCGGCTGTTCTCAGGCTCCCTGAGTGCCTTGGCAGGCAGGGTCTGGCCTGGCTGGACAGGAGCGCTCTTCCTTACCTGGCCATTTCTGTTTGATCAGAATTGTCATCCAGGAGTTTGTCAAAGCCATGTAGACTTGCTGGCAAAGAAATGAGACTCAGTTAGATACAAGCAAGGTGACAGGTGTGCTACAGGGGTGGCAGAGGACTTGCACTTCCACATGAGCCAGTGTCCTCAAAAAGGGACCTGGGGGAGGAAATTGGAAGGACTCACCCAGGAGAGTCCATTTTCTCACATGACAAACACGATAGAAATAGGGTCAAACTGTGCCAACCACTGACGATAAACACTCCAGTGTGGATAATGAGGGTGGGAAGATGGGGACTGTACACTGCACAGCCCACTTGAAAAGCATTACAGCAATAGCTTTTTTTTTTTTGGTCTCTTTGAGACAGGGTCTCTCTGTAGCCCCACCTGGCCTACTATGTAGACCAGGCTGGCCTTGAACTCACAGAGATCTGCTTGCCTCTGCCTCCTGAGTGCTGGGATTAAAGGCTTGCGCCACCATGCCCAGCTTTTTTCCTTTTTCTTTTTATAACAATATCTTAATTTTTTATTAAACACAGTACATATGGCTTTGGTATATGCCAAGGACTCATGCTGAAGAACTAGTACATATTAATTCATATATCACATCCTGATAATATTGCCATCCTCATCTTATTGAGGAGGAAATGATCTGGGAAGGTTAACTTGGCCCTAATCACAATAATAAATGGCAGAGCCAAGGTTTGTATTCAAATAAGTCTGGGTTCCAAATCCACGCTCTGAACAATTTAACTGTTTGTTCCTCAATGCAGCAGTTTTGAAAATATGCCTTAAAAAATGTTTGTGGGGGCTAGAGAGATGGCTCAGTAGTTAACAGCACTTGCTGCTCTTCCAGAGGACCTGTGTTCAGTTCCCAGCACCTACATGGTAGTTAACAACCATTCTTAACACTAGTTCCAGGGGCTCCAACACCCCTCCTTCTGAGGACATTGCACGACACAAGTACATTTACATACATGCAGGCAAAACACTCATAACACGTAAAATAAAAATAAAACAAAATTTTAAAACACTGCACGTATGTATGTATGTATATATGTATGTATGTATGTATGTATGTGTGTATGGGAAGGGATGTGTACATGCTGTGGAGGTCAGTTCTGTGGAGTTGTGGAGTTGGTTCTCTCCTTCCACTTTTGTATGGTTCCTAGGATAGAACTCAGGTTGTCAGGCTTGTATGGCAAGTGCCTTTACCCGCTGAGTCATCTCGCTGGCCCTCTTGATATCTTCCTACTCAATTTGCCAGCCAGGCCTCTGACAAGTCACTCTCAAAGACTTACCTGCGGTACGTGGATTTCCACCTTCAGGTCAAGATAATGTAACCTAAACACACCATTCAGGCACAAGAGATTATGCACCCAAAATACCAGAAATTAAGGGACCATAATCTATTAAAACCAGTCTTTACCTAATTAGACAATTATCTGTCCTAAAACATGTCCAAAATAATTTGTTAAAATCTGTGTCTAAAGAATATAATATTTCATTTTGTTTTCTAAATGCTAAGGTGGGCCTTTTTTTTTTTTTTTTTTTTTTGGTCTTTTTGAGACAGTGACTCCCTGTAGCCTAGAACTCAAGATGTAGACCAGGCTGGCTTTGAACTCACTGAGATCTGCCTCCCAGTGCTGGGATTAAAGGCATGGGCCACCACGCCTGGCTTAAAGTGGGAGTTTTAATTCTTATTTCACTTAGGAAACAAGCAGAGCTCTTAGCAGAGTGTCTATGTGGTGATGGGCACTGGGTAGTGTGGCTCTGGCCCACAAGGGAGAGCAGATAATCTATGAACCTGGGATCTGAAAATCCAGGTCCTTCAGTAAGGGGCAGAGCGAGTCCCTTACAGAAGTCATGAACCTCACTGAACTGTTGGTCAGCCTGAACCTCCAGCAGTAAGGAGAGCATCATTCAGTCTCAGAGGAGCAGGTGGCTGCCAACAGTCCTGAGGGTAGAGTCCGCTACCACCATACTCTTGAGGAGTTGTGTACAGTGGTCTTGAGGGGGGTGAGGGCAATCAGGTTCCTGTGGCTCAAATTTCGAAAAGGTGTTAAGTCTTAAACACAATCTCTGTGAACTGTGAGCACTGGTTCTCAACGAGAGCATCGGGAGGGAAGGCAGGGAACAAGGAAGTTGGCGTCCTGGCTGAGACACCAGATGTGGGGGACAGTGCTCACCCCAGTCCTATCAGCTCTGGTGGCTAAGATGGAGATCACTATTCTTAGCCCATGGCCCCTCACAGCCTGGGGTTCTTAAGCCTTATCCTCCACACCATCAAACCCTTACATATTGTCTGAGGTGGCAGAGAGGTGCATCAGGGATGATTTCCTAGCAGGAGCCCCTCAACTCATCACCTCACACTGTGCCCCCTAAAATTCAAGTATTGAAGCCTTAACTCCTCTGTACCATAAAGAGCTAGCATCTGGAGACAGCATCCATTAAGAGATGAAGGGAAAATGAGGCCATTAGAGCGGTCCTAATGACCTTGTAAAACCAGGCTACACAGAGATACCAGGGATGGGCATGTTGTGAGGTCTACAAGCCAAGTTTGGAGCCCTCTTGAGAAATCCACCCTGCTGACATCTCAGTCTTAAACTTCCAGCCTCCAGCTATGAGGGAATACATTTTTATTTAAGCCTCCCACCTAGTCTGTAGTATTTTATCATGATGGCCTCTGCAAAGCAATAAAGAATTAGATCTATTTCATACCTAAATTACTGTCTACCATAGCTCAGTATGCTCAGTAACTGAATACAATAAACCGAAAGACTGTTCAACATTTTTAATTATACGACTGTAATTATACAATTCCACTATTCAGTATTTTGTATAAAACCATTTATAATACACAAGATTTTTTAATGCAACAAGATGTATCAAAAACTACATACACACACAC